TGTGTGTGTGTGTGTGTGTGTGTGTGTGTGTGGATCGGACAGAGAGAGAGGTTGTGGATGTGACCCAACAGTGATTTCTCTCGCTACCAAAGGCGTTTTAACACTCGAGAGTTCTCCACTCCAGGTGCTGCTTTTGACTGACAGGATAATTAGATGGTGTCGAAAATATACACATGGGCAACACACACACACACACAAGCAGCATGGCGAGACAGTGCTGGTCAGGCAATATGAGAAACATGCTGAGGCCAATAAAGTGTTTCTAAGTCAGTGAACCAGGAATTGCCTGCACTTTCAGCAGCAGTGATGTGTGTGAGTGATGTGTGTGAGTGTTGTGTGTGAGTGAGTGTTTGTGTGTGTGTGTGCGCGTGTATGTGCATGTGTATTCATTTATATATCCATGCACAAATAATATTCACAGAGACTGAGAGGTATATTCACAGTATTCACAGTAGACTTAGATCATTTGTTTCTGCTCAGTTTATTATTTTCTGGTGTTTTATTTGCGCTGCTCAACACTACACTTCTACAACATCAAGCTCTTCCTTCTGTTGTACTGTTGAACGAAACACAGGCAGTTACCTGTTCGGTTTAATGTTTGCAACTGTCTATGAATCTGACTGTGGCGTGTGATGGTGACGACCGTGGTGATGATGACAGCGGCGACAGCGGTGGTCCTGTTGGCATGGTTACCTCAGTCGGACAGAGCTGAAATTGAGCCGGCTCATATTCATCCAGAGAGTGGGAGAGACGGCTGTTACCATGTTAAATTGATGTGCGTTCTCTCCCCCCGCACCTCGTGTTGTCCTTGATTTGATGCGTACACACACACTCACCAAACCACCCACCAGTGTTCCAGTGTTTATCAAAGTGTTGTTGCCACTTTACACTGTGTCAACTTCAAGGAAACGTACGACAGTATGCTCCGCAGCACCTGCTACTAGCATATGTGATGCCTGCTATTTAAAATACAAACTCTTGACTTCCATGTCTATTTTCTCTTCATCATCCGGCTGCTTATCAGAGCTGCACATGGTTATTTATTATCCTTTAGGCTGCTGAACATGATTTCATCATAATGTCCCTGATGTCAAGATAACATCTTTAAATTGTTTGTCTTGACATTTAAAGTGATACGAAATAGAGAAAATACAACAAAGGACTGCATTTGAAAATCTGAAACTAAGTTATTTAATGTATTGTCTTATTAAGTTTTGTCAATTGTTGAACCAGTCTTTACATAAACTGTAAATGGCTGCATTAATCAAATCAACACTTTGGCCTTACTTTAGTCGGGTTGGGATTAGTCATGTTGTCTATTTTTATATACACTCTGTGATAGACAGTGTATTTATTTTGTAGTTATTAGACTATAATGTTGGCATACAGGAGTATTGACACATTCAACTGGCACAAAACAGTGCTTACAATCATTAAGACTCTGGCAACCTGAACATTTTTCAGAAGCTCCAATAGTCAATTGTTCATTAAATCCTGAAGCTCAAGATAAAAAGAAATGGTAAAAGAAAGAAAATGATTGAGCCAGACAGAGAAAAGAAGACAAAGATCAATACTGAGAACAATCCAGCATGAAGAGAAGGCAGCGGTAGAGTTTGCTCTGCTTTATTTAGGGTTTTTATTTTTTTTTCTTCCGCTATAATGGCAGCGGTCTGAACAGTGAAGCCTCAGCTTGTCCTCCTGCTCCCCTCTGGCTCCCACAGACAAGTGGCGGGCCTGTGTGGTTCACCGCACCGATGTGAACTTGATTAAATCTTTCCAACCAAGAAAACAGACACATCTCCCAGGCTCCCCCTCGCCTCCTCTCTTCTCCCTCCGCTTTTCCCCCTGTAACTCTATTCTCCATCCCTTCTTCCAATATTGACATTTCCTGTTATTTTCCCGTACCTGCTCCTCCGAGACCTCGGCGTGTCTTCTCCTCTTGTCATCCATTTTCTCTGTACACTTGCTGAGCTCTGTCCATTCACTCATTACTTTATTTTCTTCCTCAATAAGAAATCAACATCTGTTCTTTTTTCTTACATCATCTCTTCTTCAACCAGCTGAAATCATTGCCCAGTTGAGTGACTTGTCTTTTTCTCTCTTCTTCTTCTTCTTCTACACCTTCTGACTCTTTTGCTCCTCCTCATGTTTGGATCGTTAACCTTGCTATTTATTTTTCTCCCTTTTACCCTGATTACCTCCTTTTTCTTACTCCTCCTCCTGATCACTGTCTCTTCTTGCAAATGTGACATAAATAACCTACGGACACGAGCAGACGTTTATTTAGGAGTTTTAAGAAAAGGCAAATAAGCAAGCATCCTTCCATGACCTGTCTACACACACACACACACACACACACACACACACAGGGCAAATGAGGATCAGGCCAATGTGTGCATGCAGCAGTGAAATTTCCTACTGCTGACATGCTCGCCTCAGGTTTAAAGCACAGTTAAACAAGAATTTGTGTCATCCTCTGACACAGCTCAGCACCATCAGGGCTGCGGTACAAACAAAGGCCTCATGTCTGATATTGGGCTTTATCTTCCTCTTTTCACACACGAGAAACATATATGTGTTGATATCTAAAAGAAAGAAAACACTAATACTGAATAAGTCTGGTCATAGAGATGGATATCATGTCTCTTCTTTCTCCCACCATCAAGAAATTAATTCAAAATATCCCAGATACAGATGCCACCATAAACACGCTCGACCAATCAGAAGTCAGTCTGGGCTGTCAGTCATAACGTTTCACCCTGTTTTCAAAGCATCAAAAGGCATCGCAGCATCCTAACCAGGTGATGATCACTTGTAGAAGAACTTCAAAGGGCAAAATTATCATACAAATAAAATTTTCGTACATCTGATAAGGCTGCTGTGCATATTCGGAGGAGGGCATTTAGTTTTTGCCCAGTTTCATAATCAGTACATCTCAGCTGAAGAAAGTGATTGTGTGAATCTTTTCTGTATATTGGTTTCTGCTTTTGGCTTTGATGTATTATGTCTCCCAATAATAAACTTATTCTTCTTCTCATTTAAAAAACTCAAAGCACCACTCACATCTCACTGTAAAAAGTCTTACCGAAGCCCAGTCTGTAATAGACAATATATTTACATTGTCGGTTCGTCCCGGATCTCCTGCTCCCTTCACTGTGACGTGTGCATGCAGATCCCTGACGCTGCACAGGGATCCATCCAGCCCCGTTTGGCTGCACGACTGCCCCCCCCCCCCCMGATTATCAGACATTCACTCTGTGCACATGGCATTGTTATGCAACTGCACATTTGAATTTCAAAAACCTTTCCGAGAGATTGCACTGCACTGTCCCTCCCCAGCCCTGCACTCACCTGCCACAGGATCCAAATGATGTCATTTAATTGCTGTGGCATGTATTTTTTGGTTTAGCGATGAAGGTTGTGTAGATATTTTTATATGTGTTATATTCTTTCTCTTTAAGAATATATAGGAGATGTTATCAGTTGCAATCTTTGGCACAGTTAAGTGTGCAGACTGAATTTTGAGTTCAGACTTGCTTTTGATGAGAAGTTATTTAAAACTGATGTGTTCGGGTATTAAGTGCAGAGAACAACACGTATCACTTCAGGTAAATTATTTGAGATATAAGACGATAAATAACCATTTTGAAGAAGAAAGAACTTGAACTTTGTCATTAATTATCTCAAAATCACAGAGGATCCAGACTAACGGTGTCGGCTAAGTGCAGCGGTTGTGTTTTGTTCACTTCTGTGCGTGGGATGGTTTCAGACAGAAGCAGAGTGGATGTACAGTGGTGGTTTAGCTTCTTCTGTGACATGTGCACATAATGTAAACAATGGCGAAGTCTAATCAAGTTAATGGAAACGTAATGTGTGTCTGCATTTTCTCTACATCATGTCAGTTTGACACTAAACGTGAGATAAGAGCAAAACACACACAAACACACACACACCCACACACAGGAAGTACACACACTAATTTTATTGGCAACAACCTCATGAGGAGGAAAGAGAAGGCAAGCAGCTCCTGTTGTATCTAAGCAACAACGGAGAGCGGAGATGGTCCTTGATCACTGCTGATGGTGATGTTTTATTGTGTGTGTGTGTGTGTGCACATTCATGTATATTGTGCACACATACTTCACACTAACTATTCAGTGTTCTTTGTTTCTATCCACAATGTGTTTATTTGTGTGTTTGTTTGTGTGCGTGTGTTGCTTCATTAGTATGTTTACAGGCTTGTTGAAGTTGCTTTGGCATTGTTTGGCGTTGCCATGGAAGTGACTGATGCCTGTAACGCTGCCGCAGCCAGCAGAGGGGAGGATGTAGATGAGAATGTGGAATGCTGAGATGTTTCCTTCTGCTGTTTGTACTTTGTACTGTGCATAACTTGGTGTGTGTGTGTGTGTGTGT